TATCAGGAACAAGGTAACTGGCATTTAGATTGTCAGCCTATCAGGAACAAGGTAACAGACATTTAGATTGTCAGCCTATCAGGAACAAGGTAACAGACATTTAGATTGTCAGTCTATCAGGAACAAGGTAACATACATTTAGATTGTCAGGCTATCAGGAACAAGGTAACATACATTTAGATTGCCAGGTTATCAGGAACAAGGTATCATACTTTTAGATTGCAGGGGTTTAAAAGTTTAATTTGTGGGTTTAGAAATATATATATTTGTTTGGATTTTTTCACAAAACAAATAAACTTTTTTTTTCTTGGTTTCAAGTTGTAGAGTATCGTACAAGGACACCAACACCTATCATGCTGACCAAACCAAGCCTTTATGACCCTGATATAAGGTAAGTACTACTATACACCAATTATATGTGCTCAATATTCCAGTTGAGAATGATTTCAGTAGTTTATCACTGATGGCACTGGTATGAAGCCCGGAAGTGTAAGCCAATGAACTGTTTTGTTTCTTTTCTTGTAGCAACCATTTGAATTTGAACTTTTTTTCTTCATTTTTTCACTTCATAATTAAGTGGAATCGTAGTGTGTCTGATTTTTAGCCTTCAAGAGTTTATGAATTTTGAAATATAATGTGTTTTTTACTGAAAAAAATGTCCATATTCGGTAGACCCAAGTGGTGATGTGTAGACTGCAAATGTACTTAACAATCTAATAATATTGAGATGACAATATCAATAATTATCATTTGGGGAATTTTTCATGTTTTCAATGTTTTGGTTATTTTGGTTGCATTGCGGATATAGTCAATAGTTTCTTTGAACATTTTAAAGTCATCGGTTGCTCTTTGGTCTGTTTTTGATATTTTTGTTTTTGATTATGTCAAATTCATAAAATTAAGCAATATTTGGAGCTATTTCATCTTCATTTTATCAATGTATGCATGAGTATAATAAACTATTGTGGTTGTTTTCACCCTACACAAGCAACTCTTGGAAAAATAATCTACTGTAAAATACTTTATTTTTGGTTGGAATTAATATTCGCTTAAACAATGATTCAGTGAAAATAAAATCCAGTGAATATACTTTTTTCCTATATTTCACTTGTCAAAAATCAGTGAAAATAACATCCATACAAAACAACCAAAAAGTCTTTTCAGTGAAAATTAATTCAAGCTAAAATAAAGTATTCTACAGTATTGTGAAACAAACACCAATTGGCAGCCATTTTGGAATATAATGCATTAGCCATATTGTTTGCTGG